CAGTTTCTTTATGTGTTTCTTCAGGTGGGGGCTCCATGATGGCGCGGCATACTCTAAGACGGGTCTCACGTAGGCAGTGTAAAGCGCCCTAAAAGCCTCCTCATTTAGGTTTCTGAATGAAGTTCTAATTTTCGCCAGTGTAGAGTATGCTGCTGTCGTTATCCTATTTATATGTGCCTCAGGAGTTAGATTAGGTGTCACATCCACTCCCAGGTCTCTTTCTCGAATCGTTACAGGTAGGCTGTTCCCCTTCATTGTGTACTGTCCCTTTGGTCTCCTGTCACCTGATCCCATTTCCATAACTTTACATTTACTGGTGTTAAACTCCAGTAGCCATTTCCCTGACCATCTCTGCAGCCTTTTTAAGTCCTCTTGGAGGATCCTACAATCCTCGTCTGTCACAACTCTTCTCATTACTTTTGCGTCATCCGCAAACATTGACATGTATGATTCCACATGTATGAATGACATGTATGATGATTGTGTGTGTGTTTGTGTGTGTGTGTGTGTTTCCTTTTATCTCACAGCAAGGAGGGGGAGATGTGGAAAGATACCTATATTAACACATTATTCAGTTTCCAAGTCAGCTCACGAGTGAGGTTCCTTAAATGCCTCCTTCTCTAAGAAGATTACAAGATTACTATTATATTCTGTGTGTATGTATTTTGTGTGTGTGTGAGTGTATTTGAGTGTATTCACCTAGATGTTCATACCTAGATGTGCTTATAGGGGTTGAGCAGGCTCCTAGCACCACCTTTCGAAAGTTTGTAGTAACTCATGCAATAATGAGATTAATGACATGACTCCTTTCTAACGCTTTTATCATATTTGCATTAACAATTTTAATTCGAATTATTATAGGCGTCCTCCATAGTTTGATGTATCAGAAATACATGTCGTCTTTATTTTGAGTTTAATCCTATAAATAAACTAACTCAAAGTAATCGTTTCAGAGTAGGAAAAAAAATCTGGAATGAGGCTACATGGGTGCTCACTGAGGCAGACTCCTAAGGCACGCCCCTGTCGCCTCACTTGGTTGTCACCCGCTACAGCGTGTATTTGTGTTGCAGACTGCTAAAGTCAGCGCCAATCACTACTCAGAACATTTGAATACCAGTGTCTTTGCCCTAAGATATTACTGGAGGTGTAGAACAGCCTATCAAACTATAATTAAACTGTATAAAGTGGAGAAAGGGCTCCAGTGTTTACACCAACGCTGACAGGCCTGTCTATACCACAGCTCGAAACTTCACTTCACCTCTAAATATAGTGCATAGATCACATCAAGAGTGATATTAGGTCTCACAACTGTTAAACATAAGGCAGGTCTTCAATTCAGCAAATGAATGAGTACTAATGATCACATGTTAATTAACTGGATCCAATTTATAACTAATTGCGTTATTAACCGTTCTTCTTTAACTGAAATTCGTTAAGAAGCAGACCTTAAGCCCAAAATAACGTTAGTAACTTTTAATATAGTTTGTTTATCATAATCCTGAAAGATTCTTGACTGAGTATATCAAATACAAGAATTGTGAGTCCTAGTTAAATCTTATTAGGTCTTATCAACAGATAAGCTATGGCATCAAGATTTATATATTAATACCTTGTTATATTTATCATTGAATACCATTTATCCAATGATAGTAAATTTAATAAAAATTAATAGGTCATAACCACTACAAAAGTGAGCTGGACTACGCAGTGGTAATGTACATTTTAGTAGCCAGCCTATTTAGCTGTATTTGTTTGTATTATTATTCTAGTCAAATATATATGTATTCCTATGTCGTAAGCCATCAACATGTAACTTGAGCAGTGACAGAGACCGGTATTCTATTACATATGCAGTCTACTTCATTGGAGCTTGGCTCATAAACAGTCTAGACTCCAGATTACAGATAAGCACACTTTTATTTACTTTTTAGTGCATGCAAATTTAGTTTAATTTTTATTATAATTTATTAAGGTTTGACTACCAAGTCTAACGCTACTAGAGGCATAATTAGGCTAATATCAGCAGCATATTCTACAGTTGGAAAAGTCAGAACATCATTCGGGTACCTACATAAAGAGGCATTTAGATATCTGTACACCGTCTACATGACTCCAGTTCAAGAGTATGTTGAACATCGTTGAACTCCTATCTCAAATAATTCATAAAGAAGCCAGAAAAGGCAAAGGCAAAGTAGATCCAAGGCTGCCGTCAGTAGTTCCAAGGCAGCGTTCAGTAGGACCTAGGCAACTGTCACGAGAAGACGTACTTTTCGCAGCAGTAAATGCTGTACTGTGACAACAGTAATAGATGCCATGACGTCCCCTAAAGCTCTGTACCAACTTTGCCATACACTTAGGTCAGAAATCGCCAGGCTGAGGGTGAATAGATATAAGACAGAATTATGTTTAACGAAAGCCTGACGTTGCTCACCAGGAAAGCTGAAAAGTGGTGGGCAAAAGGGAAACCTTGGCCCACGACCATGAATGGCGACCAAAGCATCAAGAAAACATTGGTTAGGTCGTCGAATACCTCTGTTTTGCAGGAGGTGAATTTCTGAGGTAATGACGATAGGAAAAAAATGAACGCCTTAACAAGAAAGGAGTATGTTGGTTGCAGGGGATTCATAGCTGCATATATGGATAGGATTTTTAGATCTAGGGATACAAGAAATATAATTAGAGTATATTTTCCGGGACTAAGGGTGAGTGATAGAAATGAATAGAATGATAAATTAATTGTCAGGAATGGGATGAAGCCATTGCCTGTCACTCAGCATGTGGAAAGGATATTTGCCAAGTGATGGCAAATGATCTTGACATGTGGATGTCAAGATCATTGGTGTGATCCAGTGCCATCCACATCCACATCTTAATATAATATAATACAATATAATACATACGCCAAAAGGGCGTGCGTCTGAAGATAAAAAAAATTATGTAAAATGAAATGGGGGGAAAATCCGTCAAGATAACAACACCCTTAAGTTGTACTACACAAATAGTAGATGTTTTTTTAATTTAATTGACAATTGAAGTGCTCTCATTTATACAGAAGCAATAGGAATTATTGCACTAACTGAAACGTGGATGAATGTAAACACCAAAAAACTAATAGCTGAATATAAAATTAAAGCTCAAAAATATTTTAACTGAGAATATACAGGGGAAAAAAAGTAGCAACACATGTTGGGAAACTTTAAATGAAGTGTCAAAAAAAGGATCAAAACTAAGCCACACACGGAAACTATCTGGAAAGAATTAGGTTAAATAAAAACTGGTATAATAATAGTAGTTATATACTACCCACCAAATTTTGACCAACTGGAAGCAAATATATGAGATGACATATATATGATTTCTAAGTTAAGCAGTATTTACATTTGACATTGATTTTAATCGAATGACCTGGACTAACAAAACAGGGAATAATGAGGCAGATTTTGTAGAATTAGTTGAGGATTACTTCCTTACACACCACATTAATGAGCTAACACAAGAAAATGGTATTTTAGACTTACCATATCATGAGGTTATTTTTTAATTCTAAGCATAGTAAAAGCCGGGAGCGAATTGCACTATATAAAAAGCTGACAGTATACAATGAGCGAACGTCTCGAGTGGTATAAACCAATGTCTCAAAAATATTGCTTTACCTACGCAGTACTATTCATTGATAGTGGAACTCTTACATTTGTTAGATGACTATTTATGCGAGGGATGAGATTCATCTATCTGGAGGAGCGGTGCCATTTTTTTGCGGATTCATTTAAGGAAATTGTTTGCAATACTTCAGACAGTTTAATGAGGAGTGAATGAAAATACTAGGAGAGGGAGATATCTTTGGAAGGGGATAACAAAAGGTTTAAAACCAAAACAAATAATCTTACTCCACTGGGGACCAATACAGAAATTTTATAAATAAAAACATTGTATGCAAAAATGGAAATGAGATATAAATACAATATAAAAAGTTTGGGGAAACAAAGGTGCAGAAAGGAGTCAAACTTTATGCTTTATTTGTGATATCTCATAGCTTTATTTGAGATATCCATAGCTTTATTTTAGATATTCATTGCTTTAATTCAGATATGCCATAGTTTTATTTGAGATATCCTATAGTTATATTTGAAATACCTATAGCTTTATTTTAGACATAAATTGCTTTATTTGATAAGCCATAGCTTTATGATATCCCATAATTTTATTTAAGATACCCTTAGCTTTATTCCAGATATCCATTTTTTTATTTATTCAATATATAAATTAATTTGAGATATCCCACAGCTTAATAATAAATGTCCATTGATTTCCATTTGTAATTTCCATTGAAATTCTATTGATTTACTTGAGATAGCCCATATCTTTATTTGAGATATCCCATAGTGTTATTTGAAATATCCCATAGCTTTATTTGAATAATCCCATCGCTTTATATGAGATATCCCATAGCTTGATTTGTGATATCCCATCTCTGTATTTGAGATATCCATTATTTCTTTGAGATATTCACAGCCTTATTATTTCAAGTTATTCATAGATTTATATGATATAATCATAGCTTTATTTGATATAATCCATTGCTTTGAGATATCCCTTAGCTTTATTTGAGATATTTCGGTACTTTATATGAGATATCCCGTAATTTGTTTGAGAGATCCCATAGCTTTTTTTGATAACCCATTCTTTATTTCAGATATTCGTTACTTTATCTGAAATATCTCATAGCTTTATTTGAGATATCCATAAATTTATTTGAGATATCCATAAATTTATTTGAGATATCCAACAGTTTCATTTAAGATATTCCATAACTTTTTTCTTAGATATCCCAATGCTTTGTTTGAGATATTCCTTATATTTAGTTGAGATATCACATAGTTTTATTTGATATATCCCATTACTTTATTTGAGATATCCTGAGAGTTATATTTAATATTCATTGTTTCTTTGAGATAATCACAGCCTTATCTAAGTTATCCATAGATTTATTGAGATATTCATACTTATATTTGATAAAAGCAATTTCTTTAATTGAGAAAACTCATTGCTTTATTTTATAAAAATCCTTGCTTAATTTGAGACATCATTGCTTTATTTGTGATATTTCGGTACTTTATATAAGATATCCCATAATTTTATTTGAGCTGTCCCACAGCTTTATTTGAGATATCCCATAACTTTTTTTGAGATATTCCATAGCTTTATTTGAGATGTTGTATCCTCTGAATGGGAGGAATTTAACACCTAAAGTGCCCAAAGCACAGCTGTATTGAGAACAATGAAACAACATTTTGAATAAAAATCGGTTCTAAAGTTAATATTTCTTTGGTGCAGAACAAAGCGTTGATGGCAAGAATGTTTGCAACACTTACCACTTCTCCGGTACTGCCACGTTTATATGATATCATGCTCTTCCCGTTGTAAAAACACCCAATACCTGTATAAGGAATAATTGTTATAGCCATATTGTTTATTGTGAATATTATTAAGTTATTTTTAATGTTATATTTTTGTTTATATTTCAAAATTTACAGTAGCAAGATATTGATATACTCTGCATTTTGTAATTTAATTCTGCTCTATGACTAAATTTACTATTGAAACTCATACAATAGAAACTTGAGCTTTCATAACCTCATTTTTCATAAAGACTCCAATTACTCTACGAAGATCTTGCTGCTTCTGCCTAATAATCTGCCTTAAAGAAACTTATAAAAATATACATAAATGTCTCCTCTCATGGGTCCTTATCTAAAACGACTAATGTATGTATAAAGTCTACGACATACCCCAGCATCCGTGGGGCTAAGAGCTTGATGACTAGATTTGGTGCTTATTTAATGATTGATATCGATACACGTTTGTCTTTTCCAAGAAAAGTGTTTTCGCCTGATGCTATTCTAGTGTTCCTGAAGAAAGTTTTTAAATTTTGAGTGCAATATTTTCTGCTATTTGACAAAATACTTGTAATTTCTCTTTGTGGGGATACTACTTTTCCTGGCTGCAAGCAACGTTACCAATTTGCATATCGCACACAGCTCACAAAAAAAGCTATTAAAATCCTACAACTACCAGAGCATGGGGTACACCTCGCCGAGTCGGACCTGACTGTGGATGGTCCGGCTGGCTCAGGCAAGTGTTCACCTGGTCAAAATTAATTTTGGTTGAGAGAATCCATAAATAAAAACCATAAATAGAATCATGGGACTTAATAAGCATTTACAGGTGTTAAAGACACTAGAAGCAATTATATTTGCTGAAGACACCAATGCGAGTAATTATGTCTTTGAAGTGGTTTCACGGAAACAAGTGTAAAAATTTATGTAATATAAATTTATTAAAGAGCTTAGTTGTTAATATGCAGGGGTCTTGATTACTCTTGATTGGAGTCGGTTAAAAATAAATTCTATTAGAGAGTCTAACTGATCGATAATGGTTCCTTTTGGAACAAAACCTCATTTCGCACTTGTCAAGGTGACCAGTCAATTAACTGTACTCACTTAATTGTACTCACCTAATTGTGCTTGCGGGGGTTGAGCTTTGGCTCTTTGGTCCCGCCTCTCAACCGTCAATCAACTGGTGTACAGATTCCTGAGCCTACTGGGCTCTATCATATCTACATTTGAAACTGTGTATAGAGTCAGCCTCCACCACATCACTTCCTAATGCATTCCATTTATTAACTACTCTGACACTGAAATTAGGACTGTGTGTCCTAATCACTGCCAGTATACAAAACTGGGGCGAAGGAGTTTAATAGGATGCTGGCAATCACGTATACATGAGCAATGAATCAAAATATTCGGTCAATGAGACAGGTCATTATCATGCACAAAAATACACATATGATCTGTCAATGAGACAGTTAATAAAACATAGAAGGTGGTAGCATAGGTGGTTAACACAAACAATACGAAACCCCCCCATCTCAACTGCTACCACATATCCACAGTACTGATCAACCAATTAGAACGTTGATGTATTGTTCATTACCTAACTCTGTAACCAGGTTATATCAAATACATTATATATATATATATATATATATATATATATATATATATATATATATATATATATATATATATATATATATATATGCAAACAAGCCTGAATGGTCCCCAGGACTATATACAACTGAAAACTCACACCCCAGAAGTGACTCGAACCCATACTCCCACAACTGGTATGTACAGGGACGCCTTAATCCGCTTGACCATCACGACCGGACATAAGGAAGTGATAGCCGAGGCTATATGAACCACTTCCCCGCCGGCACTCGGATGGTAATCTTGGGCATAGCATTTTATCAAATCACCTCATTCTTTGGGGCACACGTGAGGAACACAAATGCAAACAAGCCTGAATGGTCCCCAGGACTATATACAACTGAAAACTCACACCCCAGAAGTGACTCGAACCCATACTCCCACAACTGGTATGTACAGGGACGCCTTAATCCGCTTGACCATCACGACCGGACATAAGGAAGTGATAGCCGAGGCTATATGAACCACTTCCCCGCCGGCACTCGGATGGTAATCTTGGGCATAGCATTTTATCAAATCACCTCATTCTTTGGGGCACACGTGAGGAACACAAATGCAAACAAGCCTGAATGGTCCCCAGGACTATATACAACTGAAAACTCACACCCCAGAAGTGACTCGAACCCATACTCCCACAACTGGTATGTACAGGGACGCCTTAATCCGCTTGACCATCACGACCGGACATAAGGAAGTGATAGCCGAGGCTATATGAACCACTTCCCCGCCGGCACTCGGATGGTAATCTTGGGCATAGCATTTTATCAAATCACCTCATTCTTTGGGGCACACGTGAGGAACACAAATGCAAACAAGCCTGAATGGTCCCCAGGACTATATACAACTGAAAACTCACACCCCAGAAGTGACTCGAACCCATACTCCCACAACTGGTATGTACAGGGACGCCTTAATCCGCTTGACCATCACGACCGGACATAAGGAAGTGATAGCCGAGGCTATATGAACCACTTCCCCGCCGGCACTCGGATGGTAATCTTGGGCATAGCATTTTATCAAATCACCTCATTCTTTGGGGCACACGTGAGGAACACAAATGCAAACAAGCCTGAATGGTCCCCAGGACTATATACAACTGAAAACTCACACCCCAGAAGTGACTCGAACCCATACTCCCACAACTGGTATGTACAGGGACGCCTTAATCCGCTTGACCATCACGACCGGATGGTCGTGATGAGTGATTTGAGAATGAGGATGATATGAGAATGAGGTGATTTGATAAAATGCTATGCCCAAGATTACCATCCGAGTGCCGGCGGGGAAGTGGTTCATATAGCCTCGGCTATCACTTCCTTATGTCCGGTCGTGATGGTCAAGCGGATTAAGGCGTCCCTGTACATACCAGTTGTGGGAGTATGGGTTCGAGTCACTTCTGGGGTGTGAGTTTTCAGTTGTATATAGTCCTGGGGACCATTCAGGCTTGTTTGCATTTGTGTTCCTCACGTGTGCCCCAAAGAATGAGGTGATTTGATAAAATGCTATGCCCAAGATTACCATCCGAGTGCCGGCGGGGAAGTGGTTCATATAGCCTCGGCTATCACTTCCTTATGTCCGGTCGTGATGGTCAAGCGGATTAAGGCGTCCCTGTACATACCAGTTGTGGGAGTATGGGTTCGAGTCACTTCTGGGGTGTGAGTTTTCAGTTGTATATAGTCCTGGGGACCATTCAGGCTTGTTTGCATTTGTGTTCCTCACGTGTGCCCCAAAGAATGAGGTGATTTGATAAAATGCTATGCCCAAGATTACCATCCGAGTGCCGGCGGGGAAGTGGTTCATATAGCCTCGGCTATCACTTCCTTATGTCCGGTCGTGATGGTCAAGCGGATTAAGGCGTCCCTGTACATACCAGTTGTGGGAGTATGGGTTCGAGTCACTTCTGGGGTGTGAGTTTTCAGTTGTATATAGTCCTGGGGACCATTCAGGCTTGTTTGCATTTGTGTTCCTCACGTGTGCCCCAAAGAATGAGGTGATTTGATAAAATGCTATGCCCAAGATTACCATCCGAGTGCCGGCGGGGAAGTGGTTCATATAGCCTCGGCTATCACTTCCTTATGTCCGGTCGTGATGGTCAAGCGGATTAAGGCTTCCCTGAACATACCAGTTGTGGGAGTATGGGTTCGAGTCACTTCTGGGGTGTGAGTTTTCAGTTGTATATAGTCCTGGGGACCATTCAGGCTTGTTTGCATTTGTGTTCCTCACGTGTGCCCCAAAGAATGAGGTGATTTGATAAAATGCTATGCCCAAGATTACCATCCGAGTGCCGGCGGGGAAGTGGTTCATATAGCCTCGGCTATCACTTCCTTATGTCCGGTCGTGATGGTCAAGCGGATTAAGGCGTCCCTGTACATACCAGTTGTGGGAGTATGGGTTCGAGTCACTTCTGGGGTGTGAGTTTTCAGTTGTATATAGTCCTGGGGACCATTCAGGCTTGTTTGCATTTGTGTTCCTCACGTGTGCCCCAAAGAATGAGGTGATTTGATAAAATGCTATGCCCAAGATTACCATCCGAGTGCCGGCGGGGAAGTGGTTCATATAGCCTCGGCTATCACTTCCTTATGTCCGGTCGTGATGGTCAAGCGGATTAAGGCGTCCCTGTACATACCAGTTGTGGGAGTATGGGTTCGAGTCACTTCTGGGGTGTGAGTTTTCAGTTGTATATAGTCCTGGGGACCATTCAGGCTTGTTTGCATTTGTGTTCCTCACGTGTGCCCCAAAGAATGAGGTGATTTGATAAAATGCTATGCCCAAGATTACCATCCGAGTGCCGGCGGGGAAGTGGTTCATATAGCCTCGGCTATCACTTCCTTATGTCCGGTCGTGATGGTCAAGCGGATTAAGGCGTCCCTGTACATACCAGTTGTGGGAGTATGGGTTCGAGTCACTTCTGGGGTGTGAGTTTTCAGTTATATATATATATATATATATATATATATATATATATATATATATATATATATATATATATATATATATATATATATATATATATCGTACCTAGTAGCCAGAACGCACTTCTCAGCCTACTATGCAAGGCCCAATTTGCCTAATAAGCCAAGTTTTCATGAATTAATACATTTTCTCTAATTTTTTTCTTATGAAATGATAAAGCTACCCATTTCATTATGTATGAGGTCAATTTTTTTTAATGGAGTTAAAATTAACGTAGATATATGACCGAACCTAACCAACCCTACCTAACCTAACCTACACTATCTTTATAGGTTAAGTTCGGTTAGGTAGCAGAAAAAGTTAGGTTAGGTTAGGTTAGGTAGGTAAGGTAGTCGAAAAAACATTAATTCACGAAAACTTGGCTTATTAGGCAAATCGGGCCTTGCATAGTAGGCTGAGAAGTGCGTTCTGGCTA